GTGTGCGTGAGTGTGTGTATGTCTTCCAACCTCACGTCTTTCTTCCCTTTTATTTACCTGCTTATGTTGGTAGACTAGGGCATTTTCAAAGTTATCACACTTTATGCTATGCATGTGTGCATTCATGCATTTGTATTACATACATTAGGCTCGGTACATCACGCTAACTGCATTTGCATTTCAATTCAAAAATTGAATATGTGATAGTTGACCGCATTTCATATGCCATGCTTAGGTTAGCCGAGCCTACTTCGATTGCATCCTGTATGCGTTGCATTAGACAATTTAACATGAATTAGGGCACGCATGTTTGCTAACTAGTTCACTGTTTTGGCACGGAGTACGATGTAAGTATTTATGCTTTAGCATCTCGCATGCGTGTGAATGTTAACATGACAGTATGCTTGCCATGCGGCTAAATGCTTATGTGATAAACTGTTTGAATGCCTGTGGGTGATGGTTGGCTTGTTTGAGTTGGGAACACTCGTTGAAATCCGTATTTTAGCCTACTTGCGAGTAGCAAATCCCAAAATGCTTTCCAAAACAAACGGATGTGCAATGTTTATTCCCAAATTAGGCAATCTAGTCTATACTTGTTTTGCTGCGCGCATAACGTAGTAATTCTAGGCTAATAACCGGAATAAGAACACACAACGTTTTCAAAATTGGATATCATGGTTAGTAGAGGCCGGTCTTCGGACCGGGAGAGAGGGGGTGCTCATAGCTGACCTTCGCCGATCGTACCCAAGCTCCCGAGCCGAGACAACTCCGGTGATGACGGACACGTGGCCTTCGGCACCGAGTCAGGGTTTCCTAAATTCCCCCATTTTAAAATATTTAGGTGGCGACTCTGTATCTGGCAAAGCAGTCCATGTTTGGCACTTCTTTTCAAAAAATCTGTTTCTCAAAACGATTTGCTGGATTTGGACTCTTTCGTTCAGATTAAGAACCGTGACACAAATCGAGAGTCCGAACTGTAGCGAGGTCCCCCCTCCGCGGGCTTGTTACACCTTCTCAGTGCCCATATTAATTGAATTGATTTCATCAAGGAGGGGTTTTACAAACCTCTCCTCCTCTCGATCAATCAAATGTTTCAAAACCAGAGGAATTCCTTCCTCGTCGTTTTCATCAAAATTTTAAAAGTCGTGATCAATGCAATACACAAGTGGCATAGATAAATACTTAGAAACTGCAGTGGTATTCACATTCAAAAGGTCCAGCTCATCCAATTCCTCGATTACAACTGACTCAAAAGAAAAGGAAAAAGACGACATGGACAAAACCTCAGCATCCGGGTTATCAACACCAGGAATACCGAACTCTGACTCAGAGGAACTGGAATCTAGTTCTGACTCCATAGACTCTATGGAATCTGATTCTGACTCACTACCCGACTTAGAACTACTGGACAGAAAGCCCTCCTCCAGCTGCCAAATGAGGGACGGTGCATTAGATACATCCAGAATACCATTAGAAGGGCTCGCACCCGATTGGTCTCCGATCATGGAAACGATTAGGTCATCGCCCAAGCTCTCTGAGTCGATCTAAGGATCCGAAATAAGACATGCCAGTGCTGCTCCTACCTCAAGTTACCTCAAGTTCACTACTGTTGGAATCACTTTCAATGCTCTTTGTAGCCCAAACTCTGATTTTCTGAACACGCAGCCCAAGTTGAAGGTGAACACACAGCCCACACTGATTGAGAGTAGAACACACAGCCCAAACTCTGATTTTCTGAACACGCAGCCCAAGTTGAAGGTGAACACACAGCCCACACTGATTGAGAGTAGAACACACAGCCCAAACTCTGATTTTCTGAACACGCAGCCCAAGTTGAAGGTGAACACACAGCCCACACTGATTGAGAGTAGAACACACAGCCCAAACTCTGATTTTCTGAACACGCAGCCCAAGTTGAAGGTGAACACACAGCCCACACTGATTGAGAGTAGAACACACAGCCCAAACTCTGATTTTCTGAACACGCAGCCCAAGTTGAAGGTGAACACACAGCCCACACTGATTGAGAGTAGAACACACAGCCCAAACTCTGATTTTCTGAACACGCAGCCCAAGTTGAAGGTGAACACACAGCCCACACTGATTGAGAGTAGAACACACAGCCCAAACTCTGATTTTCTGAACACGCAGCCCAAGTTGAAGGTGAACACACAGCCCACACTGATTGAGAGTAGAACACACAGCCCAAACTCTGATTTTCTGAACACGCAGCCCAAGTTGAAGGTGAACACACAGCCCACACTGATTGAGAGTAGAACACACAGCCCAAACTCTGATTTTCAGCAAAATTTTTAAATTTTCTGAACACGCAGCCCAGATTGATAGTGAACACGCAGCCCACACTAGTTGAAAGTTGAACACGCAGCCCAAACTTTAAATTTTCTAAACACGCAGCCCAGATTGGTAGTGAACACGCAGCCCACACTGATTGAAAGTTGAACACGCAGCCCAAACTTAAATTTTCTGAACACGCATCCCAGATTGGTAGTGAACACGCAGCCCAAACTTAAATTTCCTGAACACGCAGCCCAAATTGGTAGTGAACACGCAGCCCACACTGATTGAAAGTTGAACACGCAGCCCAAACTTAAATTTCCTGAACACGCAGCCCAGATTGGTAGTGAACACACAGCCCACACTGATTGAAAGTTGAACACACAGCCCAAACTTAAATTTCCTGAACACGCAGCCCAGATTGGTAGTGAACACGCAGCCAACACTGATTGAAAGTTGAACACGCAGCCCAAACTTAAATTTCCTAAACACGCAGCCTAGATTGGTAGTGAACACGCAACCCACACTGATTGAAAGTTGAACACGCAGCCCAAACTTAAATTTTTTGAACACGCTTATACATCACACTTTGAATACACAGCTCACGCATTTCATTGGCACATATATTCATTTCATGCTGACACATGTATTCATTCTGAATGCAGGTTGGTTCTCGCAGTGTGCGGGGGTATGGTTCCACCGCCGCGCGGGACTGGTACGCTGAGCTCCCGGAGGGTGTCCGAGATTTAGTAGACTTGGCAGGGTTCGGGGCCTTCTGTATTGGGTTGTCACGTTGTTCTGCCAGGAGGACACTGATGGCGGCACTGGTAGAGAGATGGTGGGACACCACCAACTCCTTTCATTTCTCTACCACCGGGGACATGACTATGACCCCTCTAGACATCGCTGTGTTGACCGGCCTGGACATAGGAGGTTGGTCCATCCCCTCTGACGAGGACATGGGCGAGTGGGAGGCCGCTTGGACATATCTGCTGGGGGCTCGCCCGCCTGTTGACAGGGTTTCTGGGAGAGTCCGATATACTTGGTTCTCTTCCCACTTCCGGCGGGCGGAGATGGTGCCCGAGACTCCTGAGGAGACGGAGCAGTACGCCCGTGGTTTCCTTATGTTCCTCTTCGGGACTACCCTGTTCGCCGACGCTTGGATACATTTGCTGGGGGCCCGCCCGCCTGTTGACAGAGCTTCCGGGAGAGTCCGATACACCTGGTTCTCTTCCCATTTTCGGAGGGAGGAGATGGAGCCCGGGACTCCTGAGGAGACAGAGCAGTATGCCCGTGGTTTTCTTATGTTCCTCTTCGGGACTACTCTGTTTGCCGATAGAGGGAACACGGTTGGGCTGTATTTGTTGAGCGCTCTGGTTGACCTATCATAGGTCGGTTGATACGACTGGGGTGGCGCAGGCCTGGCTACCCTTTACTGTTACATGAGCGCGACCTCCCGCGGGCAGGGAGACTTAGTTGGCGGTTATTGGAGAGCCTGGGAGGTACTTTCTGTCCTCTTGATTTAAATTTCTGCTTCCTCATTACTTGTACATTGCACACACAACGCACTTTACAGTCTGTATTTTGCCCTCAGCACTTTGTACTTACATTCTGCACTGCTTTTCTCAGTTATGGGTCTACGTATATTTCCCGACGTTAGCCCCAGAGTTGGAGGTGGCAGGGTCCCTCATGACCCCGTACTCACTGGTGTTCGAGGGCCAGCACCGACCAAGACCCCGAGAGACTCTCTTTTATCTACAGCATTATTTTGACTTTGTGTGAACGACGAAGGTATTTCAAAACTCTCGGTCCCTTCCATTTTCATCTTTGATTTGCCCCGCATATTCCCGATTTCTGATTGGTTTATGCACTTGTTATCCGCAGATTACATGGCAGCCCTGGGCACCCTTAGGTGATGGTCTCCGATTTCAGTATGCTGGAGGAGCGGGCACCTTCCAGTACAGGATCCTGCTCGAAGGACCGGTTGGTAGAGCATGGTTTCTGGGGGAACGCTTTTTGCGTCAGGTATGGGGGTACACTTCTCAGGACCCTCCCGCAGCACCCCCAGTCAGTATGCGGACTGCTGATAGGCTCTCTTCCCAGGATGTAGTCAGTGCTATGCTGGGTACTGATGCTTTGCTACATCTCGAGGAGGGGGATTACGCCACTTACCGTCATACACACCTGATGCCTCCATTGACGGGAGTTCGCACCCCAATGATGAGGTCTGCTGGTATGCCATCCTCGAGCCAGGCCCGGGCTCGGGCTGCAGACGCCCCTTCTACCAGCAGGGCTGGTACATCTAGAGGTGGGGGTTGATCGGTTCCCCTGATTCCTCCGGCTTATCCTCATCCTGGATGGCCAGACATGCCGACTGAGCTGATGGGGTGGCAGTATGGGACTACCTCTCCGATTCCGATCCCGATAGAGCCTCCGATGCCCGGTCATCGATACGTCATTGATCCTGACTCACCACCGGTATACCCCACTGTTTTTCATCTATCATTCAAACATTTAGACATTCCTTTACACCACCGGTATGATTTATAGCTTTGATTTATCAGTCGAGTACTTAGACATTCATTCCTTTACTGATAGTTTTGCCTTTGTATCTGCACCCTCCGGCTGATTATGTGGACGAGATTCTCGGGGTGATGGCCGCACTTGAGGGCATGGTTCTTCGGAGAGAGACACACCTATCCGTTATGGGTGTGCAGGTATCGTTCATTTTTCTTGCATTTATCACACTCCTGATGACACGCTGGTTTTGAGCATTCTTCTGTATTGTACCACTTGTACACTGTGTTTACATGCACTCATTTCATGTAGTTTTTGCTTGTATCTGCATCTGATATACATATTTGGACTGATGTATTTGAATTGAACTCTTTATTTTCAGATGCCCCCAATATACGCTCAGCCGCAGGCTGGGCCACCTGGGCCTTCTCGGGGAGCTAGGCCATCTGGGCCCTTTCCCGGAGCTGGGCCGTCCAGGCCTTTTCAGGGAGCTGGGCCGTCCAGGCCTTTCCGAGGAGCTGGACCATCCAGGCCTTTCCGAGGAGAGGGGTCGTCCCGAAGACGCAGAGCACATATTGTGGAGGAGGAGCCTGGTGAGGATGAGGAGGAAGAGGCTGAGGATCGTCAGTCAGAGACATCTGCTGATGGAGAGGACGGCTCTGATTCAGATGATGACGATGGTGATGGTGGCAGAGAGTCTATTCCGCAGAAGAGGATGAGGAGGGCTTCTTATTCCCGCTCCTGAGAGCACAGACGTAGCTGTTCCCTGTTTTATTTATCTTTTTGCTAGTAGTTGTAGCACATTTGTACATTATCAGGCAGTTTATTTTCTGTAAAACTTGTGCCTTAGTTTGTAAAATGTTGTAACAAGCGAGGTATGATGGGATGAAACAGCTTTTAAAAAAAAGTATTGTATTTTAAACACTTAGCATCATATCGCATTGTTCTGCATCATAATGAGATTGAATGAAAGCGTGTATTGTGCATTTTGCCCAGTCAGGTAGTGAACCGACGCAGCAACCTAACTTTCTAAGATATAACAACATCTTAGCAAGTTTACAACTCAATAAGCAAAATACAATAGTGATGACAACGCAAATAAACAAGACTTAAACAAAGATTGTTTAAACAGAGAGCAACGACTCAAAAACACGAAACACGACAGCTCGACAAACAACTCGATAAGCAAAACGACAACTCGATAATCAAAACAACAACTCGATAAACAAAACAACAACTCGATAAACAAAACCCAACAACACAAAGTGTACTCCGGACGATCTGGGCGACGGAACGCATCCAAAACAGAGGGAAATGAAGGCCTTTGACTCTCCTGTTGCATGGAAATGCTTGTAACCTTCTCTCGGAGGGTAAAACAGGGCTAAAGATGCACATTGGAGCATGGCCGGCTACTTTTTGGGGCCGGCCGGCCTTGTTTATTTCAAGGGGGGGCCACCGGCCAGTTTTTGAAAAAGGAAATGGCTGGCCTGCTAGAAAAGGTGGCCGGCCGGCCACTTAGTCTAGCAACCGCCACATTTTTGACACTTGTCCCCTGAATAGTGTCTTTTCTTCTTTAAAAGCCCTAGCTCCATGGTTCATTCAATTCACCTCAGTTTTGCATCAGAAATGGAGGCGTTTCTTGTTGAAAACCTCACAGCTTGGATCACTTCTCTAGACGGTTCCGAAAAGCTGAACTTCCGGGGTTTCAGGTTGAATGCACTGTTCACGTTAAGTCGCACTCCGTTGCACCTTCCTTTCCTCCATGCCGCGGTGAGGTTTTGGAACCCGGTGACGCATGTCTTCAGCTTTGGCGGACAAGAGGTATGTCCGACTTTTGAAGATTTTCAAGTTTTGATGGAATCTGAAAGCCAAGAAGAGATCTTGCCCCAG